CTCCAAACGAGCCCTGCTAATTCCTGTCCCTCAAGAGCAGCCAGTTCACATGTCATCAGCTGCTGCATCTGACAGTAAGTAGCCACACTTCTTAGTTAATTTACTGAAAAGAATTTAAAAAAATGCTAATCCCGCTAGCAAAAGTGTGCACTTGCCTATCCTGGGAAAGGGTAAAGCCTGCAGTTTTAACAATCATTGTCACAGGCAGTGAAAGGCAACAAGTGCTGCTAGCCTGCACAGGCTGTTTGTCTTCTGCAAAAGTGTCCCTCAGTATCGATTCATTATTTCATGTTTCTTTTCCAGATCTTGATCAAAGAAATATACAGTCCTTTAGATTAAAACAAAACAAAACAAAACAACCTCTTCTTTCCCACATACCCTTTGAGACACCCTGCTTGCACAGTGTCTATCCATATGCATGTAAAAGGTCTGCAAGGATGGTACCAATGTGCAGGTGCTGCACGTTGTGAACTGACTGAGATAAAGACTCAAGGGATGAAAAGCACAGAGGGCATTAAAAGTCAAAGCATAACCCTGAAGTACTGTGCCAATAAGAAAAGGACACAACTTTTAAAGGGCTGCAGCTTTGCAAAGTTAGAGTAGTATATTTTAAAGGAAGAATGAACATAAATTTTATATTGCATTACAATTATATTAATTGCACAAGTAAATCTAGAACAGTTCTATACACTAGAACAGGCACTACTATATGCAAACTTACTGCCTGATTTCACTACTAATGATGTTTTTAATCCAGTGTATTGAAAATGCAAACCAGTGCCTAATAGTAACTTATGTACCACAAACAATATCCTGTATTATTTAATTTTTAAGAAAAAAAAACCTGTGAGCAACACCTGTAATGACTGACAGAACACTGCAAGAGAGGTGGGATTACACATCATTACACTCAGAACCGGTCAGAGACTATTTTTAATAGTTAGAATTTGAATACTGCAGAGTTTTAACTGGTTTTAACTTCTCTGGCAGCTGAAAGACATTTTTGAGGACATTTACTCACAAACACAGGGGAAAGCAGACAAAAACAGTTTTTACAAGGAATTAATGACTAATTAAACAAATGTGGTTTCTTTCTCTCATCAATTACAGTGATTATGGGAAGAAGAAAACGTACTATAGTTGATTGAGCTGCATGCCAGAAAGGAGGAGGGTCTCTCTCCATGCCTTTTTAATCACACAGTCTCATTTGAGACACAGAGATCTTCTTTTGTCCTTATTACCAGCACACAGATGCTACCACAGCACTAAGCATGGGTGGGAAAAGTACAAAAGAGTTCCCAACAGTGTGTTTATTGCTCACATAGCAGGACTGCTTTCCCTGCAGCTAAAGGCTTTGAATAAGAGGCATTTGCACTACCTCAAAATTTCACTGAATGCAAAATGAGTTACCAGTGACTGGCAAGTAAGTACACTGAATAGTAGTGACAGGGCTTCAAAAAACTGCTTTGGTGCTCTCTCTCGGTAAAAAAAAAACAAAAAACCAAACAGAAAATAAAAAAGATAACCAAAGAAAACCCCCAAATTTTGTGTCTATGAGTTCCTGGCTAACTCAATTCCTCCCTCTGCCAGCTGTGTATCACCTTTACTGCTTGTGGGTACCTGTAGCATTTCAAGATTATCAGTCACAGTGTAAACTGGAAGTTATGCAGTACCACAGAGTTTGCCCTTCACTCCTGGTTTCCCCAGGATTACCTGCTATTAAATTTCCCTGGTTCTTCTTCTCTGGCGTGATGAAAGTCCAAGCTCAACTCTGCGTCAATGCCAAGACCACAGTAATTGTTCATCTGTACAATCTGATTAAAAAAAGAGTATTATTTCCTCCTTACATTTATAAATGAAGAGGTTCCAGGGTTTTTCAACAAGAGCAAGCTTTGCAGATCACCGTTCCAAATTGTTTGTATCTTGACAGATCCTGGACAACGTTTTCCAGGAATGCGGAGCTAAAAATAAAGCTGTACCGACAACAGTTGACATATGTAGTCGTTATCTCTAAAGTATCAGAAACTTCAGAATTTAATCTTATTTGCAAGTAACAAGCATATTAAAGCAGAAATAAAAACAAATGCAGAAACAAAACCAACCCAACTTCTCATACCAATTCTATGTATTAACTACACAAGTTGCTGAACACTAACTCCGCTATTATTTTTGACATCAGCCATAGATTTATCACGACATCATTGGGAAGACCCTTATCCTTACTTTGGAAGGTGACTAGCTTATGCCAGATGGGTGAAAAACTTGACTGCACCTACTCAGTCGCCTTTTAAACAGCTCCCTATATGCCAATCTCAAGTTTTTACAGATTTCCACCATTTCTGCAGCTGATTCTTCCTCTGCATGCCAGTCCATTCCATAGCTTTTCTACCTTAGCTCTTGACCCTCCCACCCTTCACCTTTAAAAAGCAGACCAAGGCACTCAGGGCAAATCAATCCCTGTCTCCACCAAGTGAAAAACAGCTGGAACTCGAGCAACTTAAATTCTCCAACTGAGACATAAGCCTCGGATTTTCATGCGACTGAACTTAGACAATTGCTGCCATTATTAAAGTTTCCTACTTTCTTTTTGCCACCCCCTTGTCCAATTTCTTTGTTTTGTCTGAAGATGAACAGAACGAGGGGTCTCACAAAGCTCTGAAGTCACCATCTACAACCAACGTTTTTATTTTCCTAAATAGAAACAAGTAATAGGAAACAAGGGACAGGGACTTTCACTCCAAAAAAATAAAACAGATGCCAAAATAAAACTGATGCCACATATACAGACACCCAGCGGCAGTAAGATGGCAGAAGGATTTGCCTCCTGTACATGCTAGCAACTCACAGTAGTTTTTAAAACTGTTATAGGAAAGATGAGAGTACTTTTTTAATTTGGGGAGGAGTTGTTTTTCAACGAACATTTGAAACTTACTCCAGTTTTGCCAGTGTTCTGGAAAGTGTTTGGTGTTCCCTCAAAAAGATTTTCTTATCTGAGAATAAGTATCTTTCCAGGTGAAAAAAATAGGTATGCCATTGCCACGTGAATCTTCTCATTAATCTTCTATCAGAAGATTTTTGTCAAGCAGCTGCAAAGTGTGTTCTGCGGCCAACCAGTCCTACCAAAACTGAAGCACATATCTATCTTCTTTGTGATTTTTGCCAGGACAAACAGTCTCTAAGAATCAAACCCAAATGGTGCTCAGCTCACCTTCGGAGGCTCAGGCTCTGCAACGCCATTTTCTGCACCTTCAGCTGGCTCTTCTGCATCCAGAAGGATTGTCCAGCGATCCATAAGAACATCGTCCGCCTCATCCACCGAAACCAAAATCGAGTAGGGGTCCTCCCCACTGTAGCCAGCTCCCCAGCGCAAGACCCTCCCTAAGTCATTACCTGGGCAACAATGAAGAACCCCAAAATATGACTGCATTTCATAAGCTAGCTAAAAGCATCAGAAAAATGCATTGGCCCTGTTCTACAAAACAAATTGCATTAAGGTGCCCCAAACAAGTCATGGAAGTAGTTAGACTGGACTGAAAAGTTAACAAGCAGAAAAAGTATCTAAGCATTGTTGTGGGGATGCGTGTGCTCAATATTACACACAGAAACTCTGTCTTATCTGAAAAGTTTTCACAAGCAGTGATAGAAAATCCTGCTATGGAGTTGTGAAGTTAGGGGGAAGCTGAATTCACTGGTTTACAGCATGGGCTGATGCACAAGGAATATTTTGCCCTCTCCAACACCAGCCCATTCACACAAACACCCCTTGCTGCTCGTTTTTCCTTCAGAAAGCATGGCTGATGTTTCCTTGAAAACCTGATACTGCATTTGCTCTCCAACACTGGCCAGAACCAAGTCATGGCCTCTCTACTGCAAAACTGACATGATTTGTCAGGCAGATAAATAAAGATAAACCTTCTTGAGGACTTCTGCCCTCAGAATAACGGTGACTCTCACCTGTTCCCAAGGGCAAGATGGCCACCGATGGCTCTGAGCAGACCAACTTGTGCCTGATTTCCTCCAGCGCACCCAGGACCCAGCCGACAGTGCCATCCCCTCCGCACACCAGCACTCGGAAGGATGGGACTTTAGAGAATGTGTGAAACCTCCGTTGAGAAACAAAGGGGAAAATAAAAGTTACAAGGTAGTACAGGAAAAGCAAAGCCTCTTAATATGCTATTGAAGATTACACATTGTTATTGGAATTTCCTCCCCGCTCTTTACTATCAGTTTCAGGATCAACTTCCACAGAGTGAATGAAAAAATAGGAACTTTTAGATAAAGCTGTTTATAAAGAGTGAAAACCACATTCTTCTAAGGGTCTTCACAGCTAAACTGTTAATCACTTCCTTTTTCCACCAAAGACACAGAGATCTAACTATTCACAGTTTCAATGGGAACATCTAGAATTCTCTAGTGGTCCTAGTGGTGGTATTGATTAATAGTGGGGGTTTTTTCACTTAGTCATATGACTCATAGTAGATTTTCTTCTTCATAACATTATTTCCCTGGTCACTGCTGTGGCTTTTCATCCTGCATGCTGAGATATCCTGCAAAGGAATTTTTACTTTCCATGGCACAAGGAGCAATGAACAAGTGGAAGCATTTTGCCATAAAGCTACAGAAGGCAAAACAAAATTAATAAATTGCTGAAGCTGCAGCTTGTTTTCTTGTCTTCTTCTGCATAAGCTGTGCTTCTCCCATGAATGCTTTTGTTTTTAAGAGCTTGTCATGACAGCTCTCTGCTAAAGCATCGCTGAAGGAACGAGGCTTCTCTGAGCAGACGACAGCCATCACTTTCAGTTTTACAAAGCTGGTAACAAAGTGGTGTTGATTAAATCAACTAATCTTATCCTGCCTCCCTACAAGCACATGATGTTCTGTTCCTTGTACTTAGAAATGTGGCAGCTGGGATCAGGCAGGCCCTGTTAATTCTGCAGTTGCGGCCAAGTTTCAAGAGTCAAGATAGAAAACTTTATGACACTTTCCTGATAGTTCCCATAAAACATCAGAGGAAATTAAAGCAAAAATGAGCCCTTGTCAGGCAATGTGACATTTCTCTTTCCATCCCCATTTCATTATAAAATCTTTTTATTTTTAGTAATTATTAAATCTGAGTATTGTAAAGCACGTATGACTTTCCCAGGACTGGACTCTATTAGACTTGACACAAGCATATGCGTCAGGAACTACTTTATTCTCTTTTCTCTAGAGAACCTCAAAGTTTATATCTGTTTTCACAGTGAAACCAGTCAAAAGGAGTGCTCTGGTCTTCAGGTCTAGAACAGAAGCAATTTAGATCTCTGTAACAAGTGAATCTGATCCATACTTTAAAAAAATAATAGAACAACATAAATTAAAAAAAAAAAAAAATATTATGACTTACCCAGGCAGTGGGCCACCATTGGTAAGTTCAAAGACCTGATGTGGGTTTAGCAGCTTTCTAAAACTGTACAGCAGATCCCGACCTTTTAGCCCACCACTTTTTGGATTCACGAACACAAGAAGTGGGCAGCAGTTCTGTGGTATCTTGGAAGCCTGAAAGAAGGCAAGAAAGAGGATTAGTTGAAACCATGACTGGAAGGGAAAATTACTACTACATGTCAAAAGTATTTTTTCATGCTTCCTTGACACTTAGTAAAAAAAATCCAGATGTGATAAATAAAAAGTTTCAATGTTCAGAGAAGTGACAGTTTAGCTGCTGATCTTGTTCTGGTAGCTGAAGTTTCCTTAACCCACTCCAACTACACAGTCGAGCCTAACATTAAAAACAAAGGCACTGCAAGCTGTCCCTCCTACATGCTTTCGGTAAACAGCCTATGCCACAGAACAGTGTGAGGGATAAGGCAGTTTCCAGTCATGTACAACTCAAACACTTCCCCTGCAAAGAGAGAACTTCCCCCAAAAACAACTGCAATGTTTGTCTTAAGTTTTGTGGTTGTGTTAGAACACAGATCAATTTACAAGGATGAAACCGTTGAAAATAAAGGTGTTTGGGACAGACACTGGCATTCTCCTACCCAAGAAATAAAGAGTCTGAAAGCTTATTCTAAAAATATGTGTTTAAAATATTTAATGAGGAGGATTTGGTGCCAGTATCTTATGATCCTCACACCCCTACTGGAGCTGCTGCTGAAAGGGCTCTCCAAGCACGGCCGTGCTGGGGGGGAGCCTGGTACCCATCCAGAGCCCACTCCAAAGGCAGGCACTGCACATGGCAGAGGGGCACGTCCTGGGGTGCTCCATGGACCACACCAGAACGGTACCCATGGTCTCACCACAGGTCAGAACTTCCAGCTATCAGAAGCACCCCCTTACCACTGGTTTTCAGCCCATAAATCATTCCATAAAACCATTTGTAAATGGTTCTAGAAAGATCAGGGAATGTCAACACACCAATCCATCCTGCCACAGGGCAGGTATGTGCCAAAAGAGTCCAGCAGGCATTTCAGCATGCTTCAAAACACAAATATTTGCTACACTCCCTAAGTCCTGGTAATTTTTTTTTACAAATTGGACAGCATTCAGGGAACAGCAGTTTGTCACGCAGCTGACAGGATGGATTCAGGGAACAGAACAGTGCTAAATATAAGTCAATTTAGACAGGAATGGATCAGGGGGCAGCAAAGACCACAGCATGCAAATATGCAGAGAGATACCACCAGCTCCAGCGGGAAGACAGCACCACGACAGTGTGAACTAGGGCGAAGAATGAAGGAATCAAGACAAATTAATGAGTAACTTTGTGGGAAAGCAAACTGGAGTCTGATGTTGAGATACCCCACACTATTGTCTACCTGTGAGCTGGTGCGAACACTTAAAACCAAACATGTGTTTGGGGCTTTCCAGTATTTGACAGATTTCTCCACATTTTGCTCTCTCCTAAAAGAGCTGGGTGCTAATCCTCTGCAAATGACACCCTGCCAGATGTGTCAAGATACCTGCAAATACATGAAAATCCCTCTCCTCTGTGTCACTGGCTGCATGAGAAATGTCCTCTGCCACCCAGCATGACTCCCAGGTGCAGAGAGCAGAGTGGGCAGAGGAACCTCGAGCAGGGAAGGCTGGTGGAGCAAGGCAACACTTCTCCTCTTGCCTCTTCCTTCCTCGTCCATTGGATTCTATCGGAGGCATTCAGTTTGAAAAAAATGTATGTTTTCTCCAAGAAAAATTAGCCAAACAAGGGCTATTTTGGCTGACAATGAGCCAAAAGTGCCTCAAAATTTTTGCTGGAAAGGTTTCACTGCTGGCAAAACAAATACATTGGCGAGACAGAGAATGCAAAGCTGTGCACACAGCTTTCTCCAGAAGATCCACCTTCACACTATGCTGTGACAACTCACAGCACCTCTCGCCTCCATATTCAGGCTTTATTGGAAAAGGGGAAGCAATAATTCAAAGTGTGCCCAACACACAACAAGGGTAATCTGGTTATTTGCATTAAACACATGGAAAAGATATTTGTAGCCAGCAAAGGAAGTCTAACGAAAACAATGCATGCTACTGCCACAGAAAGGAAGGGCTTTTGAGTTGTAAGGTCAACAGCTCAAGGACCCACACATCCCAGTGGGAGAAGTGGATTTCCTCCCCTCGAGCCACCACAGGCATTAATAAAAATAGCACGCAGAGCTCTAGCTTTTCCAGAGGTAAAGCCCTTTCCATTACTCCACCAGCTCCTGCACCACCATCTGCCATATCCCATTATGAATGGTCCTTTGAAAACCCCACAAGAAACAAAAGGCAGAGCAGCTCTGAAAGGAAACGCCACATCCCATGGGGTAACAGGGTGAACTGTTCCCTTCCTGCACTCCTTGTGCCAGCTCCTACCCTGCCCTGCCTTCAACCTGACCACATTTCTTCCTCTTCAAAGCTTTTTCTACTACCAAAATTTCATCTTCAGTCATTTCAACCTTCTGAACAATACAGGCTATCTGAAACGTCAGGCTTGGTCCAACGTCCGAAAACTTGGGGGGCTAAAAAAGGGGATAAGGGGATAATAGAAAGAAAAAATATGCAGTTCTGCAGCTCAAAATAAAAAAAAAAGCAAACAACTTTTCCAAAAAAGGAAGAGAGAAAATAAACCAGCCCAACACTCAAGTCAAACAAATACCTTACTTGAAAATGGACAAGAACATTTGAATACCTTTTATTCAGGAAATCAGTTTCTAAAAATACTGATTTTGGACGTTTAGAAGTGACATGTTGAACATATGTTTTATATTACTTGCTTTTACAGATAAGTTCTAATACACTGAGTTTAAAACCAAGTAACTACAATAACTCACAAGGAACGTCAGGGAATTGCAATGATTTTTGAGATGTGCTAAGCTCCAAGGCAATCAAAAGCACAGCTGTGTTTTGGAAAGTAGTCTGAGATCTTACCCAAGTAAACATATATTGTTGCAAATATGTATTTACAGTTTCTACAGAACTGCCATCTATGTTTCCTAATTGTCAAGTGTCAATATTGTTGTACCAAAAAAAATAAATTAAAAAATTACCCTGAAAGCTACAAAGACTCACAAGCAGCTGTGGAGAATGCCCGGAGCTACCGACGTATCTGTATGTACTTTAAACAGAGCAGTCTTACCACTCGAAACCATCTTTGTTCAAGTATCTTCTAATGTAGATCTCTAACTATACTTATTTAGGACTAAATGCACCTATGTAGAATATTCAGAAGTATTCTAGAAAGTGCTTAGTCTTACAGTGAACTTGCTTCCCATCATCACACTTTATTAAACTTAAGGAGTAAGAAATACTGCTAAATCCCTATACAAGGCCAGCTTCTAATAAAGACACTGTTTTTCAGTAGGGGTAAAATCCTCCATGACAGTTTGTACACAGAGCAGGGCTGCTGTGATGCCTTCTGAAAAGCACATACTCCATTACAATTACAGACAGCCACAAGGGTAGCAACTCTTATATGCAGAATTTTAAAAAATCCCTTAATAAAGCCCCAGTGGGGCCACAGGACTGAGTTTGTTCCTTGGCAGAAAAGGACGTGTGACTCACAGCCTGAGGACTCTCTTCCCCCTTCAGCCCTGGCCTCAGTGCTCTGCTTGAGAAGAGAAACCTGCAGAGGGGTTTTGTCTTAGGCTGGTGCTCATGAAAGATTTTATTGCTGACTTCTTAGAGACAGGTGAAGGAGGCCGTGTCATGTAGACACTCTGACAGTCACTGTGAATTGTTTAATTTGTCAGGGTTAGCACAACACAACTTCAGGCTGGGGCCAGGTATTGATTATCCACACTAATCTCCTTTCTGTTGAGTGTACTGAGCAATCACATCTCGTGATGAAGCAGAACAAGGTGCTCTGTGCCACAGCCTGCCAGCACAACAACTGTGGCGCATTTTCCAGGGCCCTGTGGTGTCTCCGGGAGCTGCAGAAATCCCTGAGCAACAAGCAAAATCCAGTATTTTCAAGTGGGCTGTCTGCAGCATCTTCCATGTGCAAGGACTCATAGCTCTCCAGGCATAACATTCCTCCACCCTGGCCACAAGGGGGTCATTGCATCGGATGAGGAATGATATGCAAGGTGTCTCCACACAACTGGAGCAGCAGCTGGGTCGACACAGCAGGAGCTTGAGTCTTTTCATTGCTGTTTGGGAAACTGCGGCAATGGAAGAAGGGTGGAAGTAACTTGACAGTGTTTCGACTGTTATCATGCTTTTAAGTTGGACGCATTTGTGTGAGGAATTAGTGGAATGAACGAAACGGAAAACTGCGCCCATTTGGGAAACTCCCACATCTTTTTCTACTGCTCTTAAGGAACCTAAATACAGCACCACAGAGGGCATTCCACTGGTGAGTGGCATGAGCGATAAAGCCACAAAAACTTGTCACTTTCGAGCTCATTTGCCCCCATACAACTTACTGCTGATTTCCTTGCTTGCCAGCACCACAAAAGAAGTTCTAGTAAATTAGCTTTCAATTCAAAGATTCAGCCCTGCAATGTCTTTCACCTTGACACACTATCAGAGCGATACTAAACTGCCCCACAGTTCCTTACAGCTTTGTAAGAGACACTATTTTTTCACAGTCCTACGAAGTGAGTATTTTCATTTATATGAATATTGTGAAATAAAAAGTGTTTTATTAGATTCTTAAAGGCCCAAGATCATGAAACAGCAGAACAGATCATCACATCTGACCACACTAATTGCCTGACTTCATAATTAGCAGTAAGTGCAAACGGATTCTGCATTCAAACTTTCCAGTTACGATAGTAAGAGGAGGAAGAATTGCTTCTGGCAGACCTGACCATGCCAGACTAATCTGGGTCTTCACCTCAGAAGGTGTATCAGACACAGAGTAAGACAGGAAAACAAACTAGCAACCTGCTAACCAACAATTTACTTCTGTGCTTTTATTGACTTTTAAGAAGGGTTGTTTTGCTTTGCTGGCTTGTTTTTTTTTATTTAAGTTGCAATTTGGAAAAATCATGCATTAACCAAAACAATGTGACCTTTGTTTTATCACACATTTTTCCTTTGAGAATACACATTAGCCTTTAATTCCCAATTTCTTTGTATTTCGCTGACAAGAAGAATGTCAAATGCAGCATAAATTTAATATTGTACTCAGTTCCTGTAGAAGTATTTCCTGGTGCCGAATTTAAATGGTCACATATCTAAATTATAAACTAAAGGCTAATAGTATCACAGTATAAAAAGATTAACCTAGGTTGCAAAGTGCCTCGGGAGGCCATCTAGTCCAATTGCTACCCAAAGCAGGGTCAACAATCACTCATTAATTTACCCTGGGTAATTAGCGAACGGCGTAAGCTGGGTGGCTAAAGCACGTGTGAACCCTAACTCCTGATTTATAGGAGCAAAATTAATAAATCAGAATCAAGCCTGAATTTGTGAAAGGACTCTTGCACTAAATCTTTTGAAAGACTCTTTTCCTCTGAAATTCACAATGCAGCACTTAAACAAGGTGAAACCCGCTCTGGTGCAGCATAAGGGAAATGAAGACACTGTAAACGTGAAGATTAGCAGTACTTTACCTCGTGGTTAGCAAGGACACACATTTAGTCCCCAAAAGTTGTTGTAAGCACCCTAAGACATGCCAGCAAAAACTAAAACCAGACCTAAATTTTTGATCGTTGAAAGAAATAAAGAGGAAAAAAAAATGTTTTTCTCCCTTTTATATTTGTATAGCTGTGCAGTTGTATAGTTATTTCTGACAACTCTACAGGACAAGTGACTTAACTCACAGAAATATATCATATACATGAAGTATAGGCTCCAAGTATTTTTTTTCATCACGTTACTTACAGAAATTCTCTGTGTGGCTCCTTTGAATAAAATGTATTTTCATTTCCTTCCAGCTGAAAAAGTCTTAAGGTAGGTGTTTTTCTTTTAAAGACACATTTAAAATTCAAACCCATATCTTACCATAACTTCAGGAATCACCATGGCATTCAGAGGCTTGTCACTGACAGTTGTATCTTTAACTAGCATATATATTCTTTCAGCCTCAGAAAAGCATGAAATTTCAAGTACAACAGCACCTATAAAGAGGCATCAGAAATATTTTTATATTTTCTATTGTTATTAGGCCATCAGCATCATCAGATCACAGCAAAAGTTTACTCAGGACATTACTTAGTAAAAGTTACTCTGCAACACTTGTGGTTGCTGGTTACCACTGAATTGGTCTGTTTTGCTTTTTAAGCTGTCCTTCATACCCCAAAACACACTCCTGGTTTTTGTTAAAGCAAAGCAGTTTGAGGACACTAAGAACTGAAGCACAGAGCTGATGCGTACTTAAAGATGTCCTTTGGGCTACAGAAATATGGCCTATTTCCATATGTTTTATCGTAACTAACAGGCTGATCTCGTAATGTAAAAATGACAAACTTATCAGCTTTCATTTTGTATCTCATTATTAAAAATCCTGGAGTTCCACTCATTAACAATATCTCAGTAAGAACTATTACAAGCAAAGATTTGGTTTAAGAATCAATTTAAGATCTTTATGTCAGCTTAGGTCCTGTATGGGAAAGTCAAAAGGGAGAAATAAAAGAAAATAAAATACCGACAAGTTAGTTTAAAGTAAGATACTTGGCAAGGAGGAATACAAGGCAGGATAAGATCAAAGTGTGTAACAGACAGGATGTAAGATGTAAGCTGGTAACAAAACCTTACTGCAACCAGATGTCAGAGTCAGGAAGTCATAAGAAACATAAAAATTCACAGAAAGTGAAAAACCACAAAGAACAATAAAAATCACACACAAGCAGAAACATCTGAAAAAAATGCATGCAGGTAGACTTGGCTAAATGAAGCTGTGACATGAGAAGAGTATCACAAAAACAACTCTTCTTCATTGACAAATGTGAAAAGGAGAAGGCACATCAGACAGTGTCATGGTTTTCCTGATGAAAACTCAGTACTGACTAGCCTTGTGGAGACAGCAAATACACAAAGGAAGCCACAGAAATCATGCCACAGAAAGATTAATTTAGTGGTCATGTGAAAGTTAAGCCTGCCAGAGGACATGAAACATCTCGGACACCTAAATGTACAAAAGATAAATGGGTAAAACTTCTCAGTTTTTTCTGGCTCTCAGAAGCTTCACGGCTTCTCCGACCTTGCTGACATACAATTCATACAGCAAAAACAAACCCACAGCTCAAAGGATGAATGCAGAGATGAGTGCACCCATTTTCTTCAGATTTCCAGCCACTGGACCCCTACATCCCCCATGTAACACTGTGCTAGTTTAGTATTCACAAGTTAAAATAAAGAGAGACCACTTGAAGGGTTTTTAACAGTTCAGTGGTGTTAGACTATTCAGTTGAAGTGCAACTTCAAAACTCATTTTTATGATGAAATATTACCATTTTCTGGTACACAAGGCATGAAGACAACTTTTTTTTTTTTTAAATAAAGTAACAGAAATCCTCTGCTCTTCATTTATCTGAAGTGATTTTTGCATATGCAATTAGACATACTCCGAGCTTATAGCCTCTAGTATTAGGCTGCAAATTTGAAAATAGACATTGCTTGCAAGACTAAAAATCTTAATGCTTACCTTGAGCTTGATAAACATGACTCAGAGATACTGCATTTGCTGCAAAGGGTAAAAATATAAACACATAAAACCTTGGGTACATTTCGAGTAAATATTTAAAATATTTTTAAAGTTACATAAATATAATATAAAT